TCACAATTTATGTTAATATAATAGATGGACCTTCCATTTGGTAAAGTTTTATTCACATTATAATACTATTTATAATATATACATACTTGTAGTCTCCATAAACTATGACTGCCTCCCGATTTATTCCACATCAATCTGTTATATAGTATACAATGTTTATATAAGTACACTTTTTTACACCATTCGAATGAATATATAGGCTCTAATATACCTTAAGCGTGGTTAATATGGTACAATAGCTCTAAAAACTGATTTACAGAAGAACATCGAATCTGGCATCAGTGCGGTGTCTAGGCACTTTCGTATCGCCCCACCCTCCATCCTGGGCTGCGACTCCACGAGACACCGTCAGCGCGCAACTAATTGGCAATTTGTTCGATCTTTAGATCTGACATAATGATGTGAGTTCGTTTATTTAAATGATTCGCTATAAACTTCTTACGTCTTTAAGCCTGCGTCCATGTTTCGTTTTGTAAATAAAATTAGGGTTAAAACAGTCATTCACCTCTTTTCGAAAGTACTTAACGATGTTTTTTAACTTGAACATTTTGTTAAATGTATATTATGTGTATGTAATACCGCCATTTATTTCATTATCAGCATGCTTGTCATACCGTTGATTATATTTATTAAAAGTTGATTAAATTAATTACTGTACGTACTTACTTAAACTCAGAAGTTGACATTCCTTATTCATGACTTAGGTAATTATATATGGCATGTCGTGCAGTTTACAATTTGTATAATTTTTATTATTCATTTCTTACTTTATATGGTAATATTATTTTTTATCATTAAAGGCAAAATAGACAGAGACGTGGTCGCTAACTATGGGCCCCATCAACAAGCTCATAATCACTCAGAGGGTAATGGAGAGGGCTATGCTCGGAGTTACTCTGCGTGATCGAATCAGAAATGAGGAGATCCGCAGAAGAACCAGAGTGACCGACATAGCCCGAAGAATTGCGACTCTGAAGTGGCAATGGGCAGGGCACATAGCTCGTAGGACAGATGGCCGTTGGGGCAGTAAAGTCCTCGAGTGGCGACCACGGACCGGAAGACGCAGCGTGGGAAGGCCTCCAGCAAGGTGGACCGACGATCTGGTCAAGATCGCTGGAAGGCATTGGATGCGAGCAGCGCAGGACCGATCGTCGTGGAGATCTTTGGGGAGGCCTATGTCCAGCAGTGGACCTCTTCCGGGCTGCGTGATGATGATAATGATGAAAGGCAAAATATCAGATATATAAAAAAAAGAAATGTTATTGATTTAATACATTTTTCGAAGTTTACGAAAGAATTATAAAGAACATGCCAAGTAAGACATCATCACTTAACTATTGGAAAACAATCTTATCCAGTTTTTATTTGTTGACTCATAGAAATATAGAATAATTAAAAGCACATAATTTAATAATTAATGTCGACGCTTAATGTGTTTTTCTATTCGCGGACATATTTGTAAGAGGTTGTTAATTATAATGGTTCTCATTGCATGAACTGTACAGTAATCCATTGGTTGGCTTAATGACCAGCGTCGGCAGCGGAACGTTTTCGTTAATTAAACGCAAACAAAGACGGCTGCCTTTACTTCGTTATGATCAAACACATTAGCGGGGATTTGCTAGCACTTACAGCTACTTCCGCGGACCCAGATCTTCGTTTTATTCGCTCCTTTCTCGACCAGCGAATAATTTCTTACACATTTTCCTTCCTTTAAGAGTTATCAAAATTGACGGTATAAAGTATATACACGGTATAATGTATAGATATTTACTCGTAATAACAAATAGAAATTCATTAGTTTTATTAATAATAAATAGAGATATATTTCAATTAAATAGGTAGATTATAAATTTTTATAATGTCATAATTTGTCCAAAGTTATCGAGCTATCATTATTATTTATCAAAGTTGTCATTTTGTGTACGGTTAGTACGTAGACGAGTGATATTTAAACGCCGGTGACAATTTTACCTTTGTTGACATAAGCAGGTAAAATTACCTTTATGACTTACTATGTTTAATTACAAACAACTTTGTTTAGGTGACTTCTTAATATTCATCTATTTGTAAAGAATACCTATCCATTGCTCTCCCAAAGTTTTCGTAGCCTCGTGGCCGAGTGCATCACACCGTGAAAGTCGATTACGATGGTCATTAGTCCCCAGTACTCAGACTAATTAATACAACGTTTTGAATAAAGCTTCGGGATAAGATTCCTCACGACGGCGATGAGAAAAATCAGAAATTTAATTAAAAAAGTTTAAGTGAGTTTTCACGGGCGAGCGTGCGCCTCGCTCTCAATAAGTCAGGCACATTTTATTCGTTTTGGAACCAAATTCTTTAAGGGGGCTTACTAACTGTAATTAACCACTTTTAATACCACCTCTTGGTTTCTAAAAACAGATTTCAAAACATACTTTAACTTTTTACTTTTATAAACTTTTTCAATTTATACCTGCATTTTGCTTACGTATTAGACTACTATTCTAATAATTTTATAACTACGATAAAAATATTTTTATTGTAGTTATTACATTTAGTTCAAATGTATTATGTTTCGCAGCTTCATTCTTTGCGATTTCCGTTTAACATAATGTAGTAGCGCCATCTACTCTAGACCTTAGCACGATAATTTAAATACCTTCTTTTTTTTTTTTTTTTTTTTTATTGCAATCCAATCACTCCCCTCCTTGTAAGTGGGGCGAGGCTACGTTTTAAATGTAATCGTTCGAGTTAGTCATTCGCGTTTTCGTGCTCAAAGCCTTCGCACGCATACCGCAACCCTAGTGTTTCTTAATTCAAAGTTCGTTATTTTTTAAAATACAATATTTTAAATATGGGAAACAAGAGAAAACGAGAAAAAGAAGAGGCAAGAATTATGAAAAAGATGAGGAAATTGGAACAGAAATTACATCGACGAAGACGTATACTTTCATCAGATGATAATGGTATGTAAATTTTAGTCAATTTCCTATCGCTATTGGCGATCCACTATTGCCGTTGGCAGTTAATATGAACTGTCGTTGACGGTACTTGAAGGTGTTGATTTATAATTATAATGTTATTATTTGTTGTGCAGATTCTGACAACGCCGACGATACAGTGAATACTGATATAAGACGAGTTTCGTCAGAACAATTAACTACAGTTCCAAGTATACCGAATTCAATCGAAATGTCGCCATCTCAACAAGAGATAGCATTAGACATGCCCGATCTGATGTCTCCTTTACCACAGTCGCCAAATGTGGACCCAGTTGTCACTGGTTTAAATCCTTCGCCTGTCCCAGACAAAGAAGAAATAAATGTTTACGTAAATACACCAGAAGAGATGCAACTAGAAGATGATATTTTGCAAATATTAGGTGAGGCACCTCAGCCAGACATAAAGTTTGGTAAAAATATTCACTCAAATATCGCTTCCCGTTGGGAAGATATATTAATAAAGGGTTTACCAAAAGAAGCTAAAGATATTATTCTTAAAAGATACTTTATTCCAGCTAACTGTAGTAATTTAATGGCTCCAATATTAAATCCAGAAGCTAAGGTTGCAATGCCGGATATATTAGTCAAGAGAGATGCTACGCTAGTACAAAAACAAAGTCAGATTGGGATTGTATTGTCTGCATTGGCTGAGCTCACCGAGATGATTCTGCAGAATGAAAACTCCAAGCAAAAATTGCTACAACCTCTTAGTGATGCGTGTCGTTTATTGTGCGATAGTCATAACGTGGAAACAAAAACTAGACGAAACATTATTATGAGTTCTATTAATTGTAGTCTACGCGATACGTTCGATACTACTAAACGAGATAAATTCTTGTTTGGTGAAGATTTAGCAGAGAAGCTCAAAGCAGCAAAATCTGTACAGAAAACAGGAGAATCATTATCCCAAATTAATCCTGTAGCATCAACTAGCAGGGTGTCAATTTACAAAAATATGTCAAAAACCCGGAATTTAAACTACAGGGGCCAAATACAAAGGAAACCACCATTCAGAAACAACGAAACATCAAGAGGTCGTGCCTCGACACGTCAGCCTCGCAGCAATGTATCGTTACGCCCGCCAGCACCACCGCCGCCGCGACGAGCATTCTCACCGACCAGGAAGAATCATCGGAGATAGATTCACAGGTAAGTCAATACGCTGGTCGATTACAATATTTTTACAATCAATGGATTCGGATAACTAATGATCGTGTTTTATTATCATGGATAAAAGGTTATAAAATACCATTAGTCGCACAACCAGTTCAAACTGTAATACCATGTACCACCCCTAAATCTTCACAAGAGCACAACGAATTTATTAAAGCAATTCAGGAACTAATCGATATCAATGCGATATCAAAATGCTTCCATGAAGATGGAGAATTCATATCCAATATATTTCTTGTGACTAAACCAAATGGCAAAAAACGCTTTATTCTAAACCTAAAACAATTTAATAAATTTATAAGCACCGATCATTTTAAAATGGAAGATTACAGAACGACAATAAAATTAATAACTAAAAATTGTCATATGGGTTCTATTGATCTAAAGGACGCCTATTTTTTTGTTAACATCGATAAAATACATAGAAAACTATTACGATTTAATTATAATGGTACACTTTACGAGTTTAATTGTTTACCATTTGGTTTATGCACAGCTCCGTATGTTTTCACAAAGTTATTAAAACCGGTTATGGAATTTATGCGATCCAAAAATTGTATATCTGTAATATACTTAGATGACATTCTCTGTATTGGAATAGATTATATCGATTGCAAGTATAATATAGAAAACACATGCTTATTACTCAAAAAGTTAGGGTTCATTATAAATCGTGATAAGAGCTGTTTGAATCCTAGTACGAACTGTAGATTTCTCGGTTTCTGTTTTGATTCTGATAAGATGATTATGCAATTACCTACAGATAAAAAAGAAAAAGTAAAAAATTATATCCATAATTTTTTACATAAAAACAAATGTAAATTAAGAGATTTTGCTAGAATGGTTGGTCTTTTAGTATCTGCTTGTCCGGCATTACAGTATTCATGGTTACATACAAAATTATTTGAACAATTCAAATATCAAGCTTTATTAAAAAATTACAATTATAATCAAATTGTAACTTTACCACATTTTATTAAAGGAGATTTCCTATGGTGGCTGAAAAATGTGGATAATGGATATTCCCCTATAAAAAGAAATCAGTACCGTAAAGAAATTTATACCGACGCCTCATCCACAGGGTGGGGTGCATACTGTGATGGTGAAGAGTCATATGGTTATTGGAAAGAAGATGAAATAGATTTGCATATCAATGAACTAGAACTTAAAGCTGCGTTCTTTGGATTAAAAGTCTTTGCCAGTAATTATCATGAATGTGAATTGTTACTAAGAATAGATAACGTAACAGCAATTTCTTGTATAAATCGAATGGGGAGTGTCCAATATCCACACCTAAATGAGGTTTCTCGAGATATTTGGAAATGGTGTGAAAGACGTCGTATTATAGTGTTTGCATCATACATAAACACGAAAGAAAATCTTAACGCTGATAGACTGTCTAGGAAGAAATTTTGCGATACTGAGTGGGAATTAAGTGATTACGCGTATAATGAAATTAAACAACAGTTAGGTGTGGCAAATATTGATTTATTTGCCAGTCGCTGCAATTCTAAATGTGATACATATGTTACATGGAAAAATGAACCGGGAGCATGGGCCATTGATGCTTTCACAATTTCATGGGAAGAATTAAATTTTTACGCCTTTCCACCATTTTCAATGATATTGAAAATGATTCAAAAAATAATACTAGACAGGGCGGAGGGTATAGTTGTCGTACCATACTGGCCAACCCAACCATGGTTCCCCTTGTTCAAAAGAATATGTCAGTCAGACCTTATATATTTTTCACCACGTATTAACTTGCTTAAATCTCCTTACAGATCCGTGCACAGCTTACACCGCTCTCTAACGTTGGTTGCCGCGAAATTATCCGGCAGACTCTATTAAAGAAGTCACTAACACCGAGATCAGTAGATATAATGCTTGCATCATTATCAAATAATACATATAGGCAATATGACGGCGGTATAAGAGCTTGGCTCAATTATTGCAGTTGTCATAATTATGATTATACTTCTATATCTATACCTCCAATAATAGAGTTTTTAACGGATGCATTCGATAAAGGTGCCAAATATGGAACGATTAATACATACAAATCCGCCTTGTCTCTGTTATTAAGCAATAATCTGGATGATGATAGACTTAAGCGCTTCATGAAGGGAGTTTTTAAACTAAGGCCATCGAACCCAAAATATAACATAACTTGGGACCCTGGAATTGTCTTACAATTTCTAGCACAGAAATGGCCTAACGATGACCTTGATTTGAAAACTCTTTCCAAGAAGACAGTAACGTTACTCGCCCTTGTGACTGCACATCGTGTACAAACTCTGTCATTAATCCACATAAATAATATTTATACAATGTCTAATGAAATTCTGATAAAGATTACAGACGCAATTAAGACAACAAAATTAAATACATCTCTACCCATATTACGACTTCCGTTTTATAATACCCGTCCAGAAATTTGTCCCGCTCGTTGTTTACAATCATACCTAAATAAAACTAAACTGCTACGCAGTAATAATGACAACAGGCTTTTTGTGAGTTTCAAAAAACCTCATTCTAATATCGGCCCCCAGACTATTAGCCATTGGATAAAAGATATATTAGAAGAAAGCGGCATTAACACATCAATATTTAGTTCACATAGTACACGACATGCAGCCACATCGAAGGCTAACAAACTGGGTGTTAGTATAGAAGTAATTAAAAGGACCGCAGGATGGTCTAATTCATCTTCAGCGTTTGCTCGCTTCTACAATAAAGAAATTACAAATAATAATATATTTGCAGAATCATTACTAGATGATACAACATTATAACTATTGTATACAAAATTACCTACAATGGAGAACTGATTTTGATTTGTATATTAATAAAAATATTCTAAAAATTGTCTGCCGTTTATTTTAAAATCACGACTTTAAACATCCTACATTATGTTAAACGGAAATCGCAAAGAATGAAGCTGCGAAACATAATTGAAGATCAAACGAACTTACCAAGTGAAGTTCGATCGTAATTATGTGAGCAGCTTCATTCGAAGCGATTTATTATCACCCACCCAATTAATATTGGCATCAATCCCATCCCAATAATACTTGTGATTATAAAATAACAAATAACAGATTCATAACTTTAAACAAAATGACTAACTCGAACGATTACATTTAAAACGTAGCCTCGCCCCACTTACAAGGAGGGGAGTGATTGGATTGCAATAAAAAAAAAAAAAAAAGAAGGTATTTAAATTATCGTGCTAAGGTCTAGAGTAGATGGCGCTACTACATTATGTTAAACGGAAATCGCTTCGAATGAAGCTGCTCACATAATTACGATCGAACTTCACTTGGTAAGTTCGTTTGATCTTCAATTTTTACTGCTTGCCTGTAAACCAAACTAACACATATTCGACTTCTGAAAGAAGCTTTCTTATACTGATATTATGTATTATACAATCAAATTAAAAAAGTACTATAAAAAAGAGAATGAAACGAGCGGCGGTACAATATTAGTCAGTCATTTAGTACATAGTGTGTCGGCGTTGGCGGCGACGTATTCGTCGAATGGGTCTCGAAAACCCGCACACATTTTTGTGAGCTCATTAAAATTACATTACTACACTTATTTAAACAGCAAACAACTAAACGAGTCGTCGTTAATGCGTCTCAACAGGGAAAATTTTATGGACATTCCCGTCTTGTTAGTTGGAATAAGACAGTTATTACCTTAGTCTATGTAAACTAAATACATACCATTATTCTACTATATCGTCAACGTAGTTAGGTAGCTAAATATCGATTATTTATAGTTTCTATGCTTTCAACTCTACTTTTTCTTAATTTATTTTACCAGATATGACGTAATTTATTATTTATTTATCGGCAGCAATGTTATCTTCAAACAATTAATTTTGATAAAACTTCACAGAAAAGTAAATATCGCGACTATATCGAAATTACAATCAATTAAGTTAATATATGCAATCTATCTATTAGTTTATCATGACCTACCTAACGTTTTCCGTTTAGTTATGATAATTGGTAGATAAATATAATGACTGAATTTATGAAACGATGCTTATCATTTACTTATCGTGTACCGTATTAATTTGCTCTAACTTAATAGTGTTTTCGTGTTCTGCATATAATAATTACTGTATCAGTTACTGATAGATATATATTATAGGTATTATATGTTGTCCTACACTGCAAAAAGTTTCAATATTACCAAACTTTTAATAATAAATACCAAAATATACCGAGAAGTGACCCATAAAGCATTTTGTGAATATAAATTTTACTGGGGATGGTGGGCTACGATATAGTTGAGGTAAGTCGTCAGACTGCATTGATGGAGTACGTAGTTAAAGTGTTAAGAGGAGAAAAATGCAACCAAACGGTATTAGCATCAATATCCATACGAGCGCCCAACAATTATGTACAAGCACGTCGAAGGCACTTATTTGAGAGGCACTTCTTGGAGAAGAACAGAGCTGGCCAAACAGGCTCCCATTACTCTTGCACTGAGTCTACTCAACGGTGTTGTTAGTCGAATTCCTGAGCTGGACATATTTACATGTGCCTTGTTGAATTTTAGCAGAATGGCAATGAATTTCCTAAATAATACGTAAAATTGTAGGTTGTTCTTGTATTAATATATACAAAAATAAGAAATATTATAAGTTACACATATATAGTGAGCATATTGGGAAGCTGTAAGGCTCGATTAGTTTTTGATATCAATAAATAAATAAATATCCAAAAAATTGTTGCTTATAACCAGTTTGGTTAGTTTTGATAATCAAGAATAAATTAAGTAATTTCATTGATTAATTTTTCAGTGTATAATACTATGTTCTAAATAATAAAACCTACATACCTACATAGTACAGATAATACCTACTTCAGTGTCACATATATCTACGAGATATCATAATAATGCACATATATACCATAGATAGGCTACTCAATAATTATGTTTGTATCTAAGAGTAGGTAGTAGTAGTAGTAGGTACGTAGGTATATATAAGAAACATTTGTCTATAAAAAATATACATTTCGACAGTTTTGTGTTTACTCTTTGTTTAACAACGTAATGTATTTTTAAACGATTTTAAAAAGACGCTCGTCGTTTTGTTCGGCTGCTTCTTGTCAATTAGCATCTTTCAGAGTCTCTGCATTTACCTTCAAAAATTCCAAATATAATACCATTTTAAAAGTGAGAATTGCGTTAAGTGCTTTTCGCAGATGGTACTGTGGGTTAGTATATTTGATCGACAATCAACAGTCAAAACAAGAATAGGTACCCATCTTTTTGTTGCATATCGTATGTTTTTGTCATTAGCGTTTGATGCCATGTGTTATATTGAAAGTGGCAAAAACACAGATGATGTTGACAACAAATCTTTTTTATTTCAGAGATATATTACAGTGAACACAGCGGATTTAATTATTGAGGAAGTAAATATGAAGAACTTTATTTGTTCTTATTTATACTAATAATTTAAAAGGAAAGATTGTTGTTAGTATGTTTGTAATGGAGAAATAAAATCTACTGAGCCGATTTTAAAAATTCTTGTTTTGTGAGGTTACCTAGTACAATATTAAAAGTGTTATGAGTACCTATCCGGGCGAAGGCTGCGCGAGGTATAAACCTATATTGAAGTTTAGGTTGAAATACATCCCAACAGCTTGAGGATGAACACTCAATTGTTAGTATAAAAAATTAAGAAAATATCAACAGACCGACGATCAAAACCTTGCATGGACATTTATAAAGGACCATGAAGTTTGGTGTCAGACCATTTTCATAACATGAGATCACACCATTTAGTCAGCAATGAGAGACTCTATAATATTCAATGTTTATTTATTTATTGTATATTCTTCATATTAATAATTAATAAGTATTTAGTGCCGGAAACACAAAGTAGTATGAATCGTAACTATGTATCTACGTATCAATTCAATAAACTTTATTCCGGTTCAAGTAGTTTATACAACGATTAATTATAAAAATGTTACACCCGTTAATCTTCCTAAATAAATAAATAAATGTAATTTTTACGGTTTACAGGTTTTATACTATTTTTGTATCAAAATATAAAAAATAATATCCAATGGCTATTGAATTATAAATATTTTTATTGATACATTATATTAGAAATATGTATATCAATAAAAGTTTTAATGCTTAAATATAATTTTGTTAAAGGTTTGAATACTTATACAAATAAAACAAGTTTGTGTAATCATTAAATAAATATATTTATTTACATAGTAACGGCAAAATGAAATAATCTGTCGATGTTTATGAAAGTTCGAATTATTTTATTGTGTTTTCTTATCAAATGTATGTATTAGACGTTGATATTTTATTCTAACCAATATTCTAATTAACGACAGTTCAAATTTTTTACATAAATACATCTTTTTATCGTAAAAATCTTTAATTTATACATATTTATTTTATAGATCTTAGAAAACATTAGCATTTTAAATAGACTGTTTCTTTATCCAATCAACATAGTGTTTAGCGAATTTTTAACTGATAATGATAACTTTACAAATACAGGCGCGAACAACATTCACTGAAGCTGCGGCAGAAATAATAACACAAAATTACAAAATATCTTAAACAGATTAACCTTTACATGGAGGTACTTATCTAACCGTTGTACCACTTCTGAGTACGAAAGATATCACTATTAATCTGTGCTCAGATTATTAAGGTCAACTCCGACGACCCGTACTGGTAACGTCGTTTGATTGGCACATTACCAATGCGCCCGCGCCACTCAAACGGCGTCGTCGACACGAGCCGTCAGGGCTAAGCCGGAAATGTGTAGGGGCTCTTATTCTATTATAATCGGAGCTCACTCGTTTAGTCTATAATTAAAATTCTTTTAACGGAAACTTATCTTTGGTAAAAAAATAACATCATTATAGGTATATAACCGATCAAAAAAAATAAAAGAAAGAAATTATGCTCAATAAACTTCATACCTTGTATGATAACAATGTTTAAGTTTCTAAATGTACACAATTCCATAACAATGAGATCGTTTTAATTAATTACATTTTAGGGTCTGGACCTGAATCGATATAAATTTGTAAGTAGGCAGTCACAAAAAGTATACTTCTGTTTTATATTTTTTAAATATAATACCATTCATTAAGAGGGCGATTCTCTTAAGACTGACAGCGTATACAAACTATTCACATATTCGAAATAAAATAAAATAATTACATATGATAAAAAAAAACTTGGTCTATAATAGTTTGGGTAGGTTATTCATAGTTAAAGTTTGATACAGAACCAATATTTCCATATTATTGTGGGACGAGATTTTGATATTATATATTACTATATTCGTACGTTAGCTCGTTAGTTATAGTATATAATATTCTCTTACATGTGGTTGTAGCTGTTTATTTTCTGTAACTTTATTCGTTTTTGCAACTTACCTATGCCCATTGTGCATGTCTATACTTAATATATATAAACTCTAGGTAGAGATTATGTAATATAATGGTGAATGTGTGTTTGTATTATTAACATGCGTATACTGATTTTCACTATTCAATTTTCGATATATTATATTAAAATGTTGTAATACATTCAAAATCATTTAATAATATTTAAAATATTACCAATTTAAACGTTGACAGTCTTATGGAAAGGGTCCTCTTAATAATAAAACGTCGTAACCATGTACAAGATACAATTACCTTGTACAGTTACGTACACCGAAATGTAAACACTTAGTACTTTACCACTGAAATTAATAATATTTCTAAATATGTTACAACTATTGTGAAAAGGCTCTGAAGTGTTTACATGTTAGTGTAGGCGACTGTACTTGTGCATATATTTAATAAAAAATAACACAACTACTGTTTGAAACGCATGTCGGTATCTTCGATATTTCAATCATTGATGAATACGAGGTTGGCTAAATTGGCTAAGCGCAAGACATGGTACCATACAGTACAAGCGAGAACGCGCGTCCTACCCACGCGACGCCGCTATCTTAACATGTAAACAAGTGCTCAAATCGTATACATAATGGAAATATCGTGTTCTGACAACGTTATCGCGACTCATCCCGGACGCTTTGTAAAGTGGCCACATATCCCTGGCTCGCTTTTAAGCCTAATGTACTCTCTTATGGCGCTTGTAAAATACGCGCTCGCCGAGACGGCTCCTGGCGATGAAACAAATTCTGCACTTAGCCTGCTCTGCACTACGTAACGTAACAATTCAGATAGCAATATTATTAATTACATCAGAGATTCCTTAAAATAATATTTTCATAATCAATGACACGCCAGTGAATTAAAACAATAGGTAAATGAAACAACATAACTATTTCTATAGATATTAAACGTTTAGTGGTGGCTAAATTATAAAGATGCGGATATGGTGCGCCACTCTACCGTTCGCGTGTGTAGAGACGTCCGCCGCTTGCCAGAGATGTGCCCCGCTTCGGAACTGTCTGCATGCGGCTGAAGCGTCTCGCCAACACTCAGTGGGGTTTCACCTGCCACAAGAGAACTATATTATAAAAAGGAAAGATTTGGCTGAGTGTTTTTAATTGGTGTACTCAAAACATTACATATTTTTCTCATTGTATCATTAATAGAAATGTGTATAACCAGCCAGTAAAGTATACTTATTGTATTTAGTTCAAAAAACATAATAACCTCTATTGGACTTATTGATTACTGTTTTATATAATTTTAATGGCAGGAAAGCTGGCGGTAAATCGTAGGCACTGCGTATAAAAATGCTTACGAACAGAGGAGCGCGGCAGCACTCATGAGTTTCCATGTAGGAGAACTAAGATGTCATGTCTTCATATTTTGTAACTTCACTGCCTTAACACACCATACAACCAAACCATTATATAAATAAGCTCCTTGGCGGCTAAAATCTTCGTATGAAGTCTACTCAGATAAGATATATGATAATATATAGTTAATTTATGGAACAAACCGAGGCGAGAAGTCGGCGGGGCATTGTCGGTCATCGCGCGGCATCGCACACATCGGGGTCAGGCGGGCTCCCGTAACCGCTGGATGCATCATCAGCGGCTGCACATCCACCGCCGTCCTTTTCTACAAGCGCAACACCCGCCGGCGCACCGGCCCCACAGCCCGCAACTCCGCCAACGTACCCGCCGCTAGGCGACTGTCAACAAAATATCATTTTAATCACCGCGACATAAGGATCTAATTTAAATTCGCATCCCAATTCCCACGTCAAGCTACTAACAGTAGACCGTGAGCGCAATCAAAAAGTCGATTAGAAATGTCGTGCGGCTGAATGGGTTTCCTCCACTCGCGCGACTCATAAAATGAAATAGATTCCCCCACATTCGCATTCCGACAAGCGTTCGTACGAGAAAGATTAATGATCACAAAAGAAACATAATAAAGTGGAGATAGAATCTCCCACTAACAGTGTCCTTGTGGGAGTTATTTACTCCGTCGAGCCGACTTTTTCACGTGCCTTTATTTCGAGATGGAAACGTTAGAAAAACGATGTTATTGTAGATAAATCAAAAAGTAGATAGGTACATGACAATTATTACTGTAATATAAAGTATATTTTGTTCGGAAAACAAACAGTATTAATACATACTTAATAAAACCTAAAACAATAGTGTAATCATGACTAGAGGCTGAGAACAAAGTTCTATTTTACAAGAGGGACTTGATTGATTGATGATTTTTAATGTAAGTAAAACGAATGAGTCTTTGCTAAATCGGCAAGTATTATTTACAAATGATGATACAATTATGCAAATCGTTTACAAAAAAATACATAAGAACATAGTAGGTTCTTATGTATTTTATTGTAAACAGACCTTGAAGAAATTATAGCCAGATCATTTCTTTTTGTTTCTAAATCGATAAGACACAACTCTGTAGTTGTATGTAACTGTTTACAAACGATAAGATTGGTTTCTTTTTGAAAAAGAAAGTATTACCTGTAAACCACTGACTTGTCTTCGAATATGCGCTAGTCCACTGGGGTTTGCTGCCATACTTGCAAATACTAGTCTTTCCTCGTAGTCATACTCGCAAAGTATTTTGTTGTCACACAAATAGAATCTATCGCCTACGCAGAACCTGAAATTTATTATTTTTCTTACTCTTTGAAATTTATTTATTATCACTAAAAATTTTCTCATAAATTAATTTATTTTATACTGTAAAAGTATAACAACATCCTTAATATTAAGTTAACTTAGTTGAATATATAGTACGTTATAGGATAAGATATAGAAGATACTTAAAGTAATCTTTAGGTATATTATGCTATTAAATGCCTATGCAAATTATCGTTTCTGAAACAGCTGGGTTTGTGTAATAGTAGTATACTATAGTAATTAATGTATTAATGACATTTCTGATTGTTAAGAATTTTCATAAGTAATGTGATATATAGGACAGTTCCGATTTAATTAAAGTAACACGTATTCCAACAGAATGAATTACCCACTAGAAAATTATCAAAATCCTTACCTGTGATTGCACTGTTGACAGGCAAAACATTCTAAGTGGTAAACGAAACTCTTAGCTCGCATAACCATTTCGAAGGCGGGAATGACTTTGTTGCACGCCACACAATTGCCTGTGGCACCGAATAACCTGTTTAAAATAATGGTATTAAATGTAACTACATACATATAATAAATCTGTAAAATTTTATAGAAATACAGCAAATAGTAATATTGTATGAACGAATTGTTATCAATTATTTTCGAATGATTTCTGAATTATAATACACATCATGTATATAATATATTTTAAATACATATACGTTTTATGTAACTGGAATAACAAATTAGTTGAACCGTTATTTACTTCAGCTTACAATGAAAGCTGCAGAATTTGTTGGGACTTAAATAAAAAATATATATCGCTGGCTGTCAACCATTATTTTTATAAATATTTATATTATTTGATACTCTTTTTATATATCGCTGTTGAATTTTCTTCGGGCCCTCTTGGGAATTATATATACTTTTAATTATACCTGCTTTTTTAATAATTGTATACCCATTGTAGACCAAAATTACATTAAAATAAGTTAAAAGCAGGATATAATTTTATTATTACCTAAGATAATCCCTCTTACAGAGCATGAGGTCAGCTTTGTAATATAATTTGGAGCCTACTTCACCCAGGCGACAGTCACAACAACCACATTTGAGACAGTCTTCATGCCAGAACCTCTCCATTGCCTTCAGAAGAAACCTTTCAGTAATGACTTTCCCGCACTGTGCGCAGAGTCTTGCACCCCCCGTGTTACCCGCGACGGCACTGCTAAGTCCATATTTGCTTTCTTCCTGTTGACCTGCGGAGACGATTAAAAAATTAATTAAGCTGCAATAAATGCTTTTAATATTCAAAACTAGGGAGTTTTCACTGATTTTTATTTATGTTACGAGATATCTTGGAATGCAATTCGGTTATTCTTTTAATTTACAATATTTATTCATTCTTATAAATAAATTTTAATTATATTTTAGTGGAACAAAATATTAAGATAGTAATAAATATTAAGATAATAAAAAATCTGACGTTTGTTGTCTGACTGCTAAACAAGCAATAACACTGCAATTGCATTACCTGCTATTGCGGAATCAATTTAATATTTAACATTGTAATAAGTCAACGTTTCTAACTGCTATTATCATCTAATTGAGAACAGTAGTTCATTCAAAAATAGTAATGACGAGATTGAGTTTGAGTTTTTTAGTAAAAATGGTATTATGATGATGGGCATTCTCCATAGCAAAAACCAAAAGACATAAATTCTTAAAAAAAATTATGGATAAAACAAAGGCATACAGATATACTATAATGATGTTGATATTATTATAAGTAGAGTAAACAACGTAGTTTATAGAAATAATCATTTAACCACAGTGGAGGATGGTGGTAAATTTAAATTAAAGCTTGGCGCGTAGGTAATGAATTCTGTTTCGCTGCAAACAAGTGGGTAATTGTTCGTAATATGCGACTCATTATAGCATTAAGCTAGACTCGATTGTTTTCTACTGAATAATTGCGTCAATTAATTCGAGCATAAGCGCAGTGCGTGACACGCAACTCAGTCGTTCTCGCTGACGTCATTATAATGCGCATATACATTTTCCTCACACTTGAAAAAAAGTACTATAAATACGGAACGTTATGAAATAAAGTTTATAAAATCTCCGAACTATATAAGGCTAAACGGCGCGTTTACTGCTGAACAATATGCATTGCAAGAATTGCCTCTGGCAGAAATAAATGGATCGTCTTTAGTAAACAATCAGTTCCAATTTATCGGCACGTCGCCATCCACATAATAATATTGCGTACGTCAAACCAATCAAGGATCCAATTGAAGGGGTAACTAGGTGGACATAACTCATCGCAATCGATCACTTGCGCATCGTCCTACGACGGGCGACGCCGATACATCTCGTTTATTGAAGCCGACATCGCGACAATAAAGTTAATTGGAGTTTATTAATGACGGCTCGTTAATAAGAAAATAATAAAGATGACGTATTGCCTCGGGACGTCGCAATTTGCAATTAGTACGCTGCAGGGGAGCTGGATATATGTACCTTTCTATCTACGAGCTACAGCCCCTGCCCACGTTATTGTCGAATTAGAGAATACATGTGTAAACATATACATATATGTATATTATAAAATTATTACAAAAATAGTTAATATTAATTTGTTTCAGATCAGCACTTCGCGGAATTACAGAAGTATAAAATACTAGCTGTTACCTGCGACTTCGACTGCATCAATTTATTCTCTATACACCCCGTTCTAGTATGTTGTTTTCGTTAAGATAATTTCAGTGGATTAATCGTGAATAGATAACAAACAGACAGAGATATTTGCATTATCATTTGTATGGATATTGTCTTAAAATCCTTTATAATTTGTAAAGATAGCTTGAGAATTTGTTTAACTGTTTTAAACAAATTCAAGTACGATGCAAGGTTGAATTAGCTGCCCAATTATTTCAAAATAGTAGGTATAATTTAACTGTATACCAAAAAAACCCTATGTATAACGCCGTTTCAAGCATTGTTGTAAGATAAGTAGGTACATAATTAGATTTACCAAAATAACAACCATTTTGGCAACATTGTTCACTAACAATTCGAAAAAACATCGTTTAATTGTTAATACATATAATCATCTAATAGATTATTTACTTGTACATAAATGAGTTGGTCTAGGCAAAACACTGCAACCAATCATTAGCTAACATTATATACCGTATACTTTTTCTAATGTTCTTGGAACGTATGCATAGGTATGGTAATGAAGCGAAGAATAAAAACACCATTGGTTTTGCCGGCGGCAGTTTAAGAATCTCCGTATTTTTCCGCGGAATTAATAAAGGTGAAGCGTGCGGTAACTGCATGGCATGTTTTGTCCATTTCAGGCACTTGCACCATTTATTACCAGGTAATTATGGTACGACTGCACGTCAATCTAATGACCGGATCGATTATATGGATCCACAGAATCTCTGCAGCATTCGCTCATATGGTGACGGCACATGCTTACTAAATACTAAATAGGAATTATCTATTATCATACCAAGTTCCTTTGCAGAGTAAACAGAGTGTGGTAGTAGCACTTATGATGATAACCTTGTACGATACACATTGGGCCATCTAATTCAAATTCAAATTCAAAATATCTTTATTCATGCAGGTCTATTACAGACTCTTATGATATGTCAAATCTACCGTCAGTTCGGAATGATATCGAGATGAGAAGAACTGACAAGAAACTCAGCTCGTATTTTTTTTCAAATAATAGTGGAACATGTTTATGATAAATACAGTTATTAAAATTCAAATTTGGGAGAATAGAGTGACCACCAGCATATGCTATCGCAAAGAACAAAAAATTTAATCAGTGTTCACAACCTGAACAGACCAGTCCCCACAAGCAGCACCCGTTCACGAGTATGACGTATGAGCCAGTCATCATTGTACTCAACCATATTTGAGGGGGCACATCGACCCTGCCCACCACGCCGCCACAAGTTTGAACTTTATAGCGAGCATGACTATTTCAGGTTACTCCACTACGTCAATTATATTATTTACAGCATAGGCTGTACCGATCACAGTTTTCACCCATTACAATATTAAATTTACTTTATTTAATTTACAATATGTCATTACCAAATTTATAATACTAAGTTAACCAGAGCTTGTGTAATAGGTACTAGATTACTGATAGAAATACAAAAATATATTTTTGTAAATAGGTACATATATCTCTCTCAGACCAATGCACAATAGTATATTCATAAATAAAAATGTTTGCATTGCGCGATTAAACGAACCCGTGACAATCGGAAATAAGGCAGTGCATTAAATCGCTAGACCACCGAGACTTTAGATTATATATTTACATATATAATATTTAGCAATTCTAAGTATCTCCTAATACTTCTACATTTGTTAAATAGGTAGGTACTAAGTACTCATAAAACAAATAATTTCATTTTATACGAGCGGACTCTCCCCATCTATATGTCAACCTAAAAACAATAAAACGAGAGTTAATCATGTGGACTGTACATAAATATCCGGATGAAGGCGCTTCCTATTATTTTCGTTTTATTACCAGTGGGTCGAGAGTTTGATAGAGACTTGGCTACCGAATTGGCGGACAGTGTAATTTTGCCGACCCAGCCTTAGCTCCCGCCAACTTATTAAGGCGTTTAAATGAAAAGAAATTTAGAAATATTGAATTATATTTATTACTAATAGCTCCCAGGGCTTCTAAGTCTGCAATTTTACAATTTGCGTGAATTTCTTAACTTTATGTTGGTACAGCCTATTATATAGTAATAGAAAACAATAGTAAAGAAGACTATTGAAATTTGTTAAGCTGTTCTCAAGTTATGGTTTGACCAAGGTAAATATAAATGCATAGTTAAGATACCGAAATAAAAAAAAATGTATTAATACTTTATAGTATAATTTCATCATCGTCTACAATTTCGTGTATCTTAATTCTAGGTTACTTCTAGTTTTTGCTACTCTATGGGAATATATTAAAATATGCTCATTATGCAGCATGCATGCATACAGCTTACAAAGCAGTACCAAACCTATTCGCCTATTCTATTGTGCTAGTAACAAGATCAATTACATATCATTTTATTTAATTGTTTTCAATTGTATTTATCTTGAAAAAGTAATCCTACTGCCTAATACAAACTCTATAGAGAGTTTATAGAAGAAGAAGAGAGAGGCTTACAGAAGTATACACTTAATTCTAGCGGCATATATTTTTTTTTATTTGTGGAATTATTATCATGACCGTATATATTAAATTATAACATTACTAATTTGTAATGTACCTAGGCATTCATTATTTATACAGGGTAATGTATAGCTTAACCAAATTGCCAGCCCGCGTTCGCCTGTTTTCTGGCCACTCCAGCTTAAAATTAATTTTCTAATTTTACCGCGAAATTACTTCTAAACACGGGATCTAATTGAAATCTGTAATGGCCTTTTGTTCCGAAAACCCTTTCTTGGTGTGAAAACTCATTTCCGAGTTAAGGGAACTCGTATGTAGGTGGAGGAGTGGCGACGTGGGTTTCCCTACCTGATGTTCACACTCACATACTTTGACTTCAACATGCCATTATATTATTAGGTAAGAATTAATTAAGCTTTAATTATATTTATGATAATGTTAATTAATCAAAATGCAATTTATTATTATTGAGGCAATATGCGTATCTATATCTTGATAGAAACAAATTAAACTGCTGGACTGATTAAGAAGAAGTATAGTAGAAAATAAATCAGCCTATTAAACTTAGTTTTATTTAAAACTAGACTATACTGGTGTTTTGACCTTTACTAAATATGTTACAAACTTTGTGTAAAATATTTAGTAGTAGTTTAGGAGTCAATGTGATCCATTTGACAAGTTTACCAAATTATTTATGAAAGAGTGCAGCTAAAATTCAAATACATTATTACAAAAAATAATTCATTAATTTTCTTCCGTCATCGGTTTTGATACATTGTATGTCAAGTAGAGTTACGTTTAATACTGAATATTGTAATTATACAAAACGATTTGCGAGTATAATCTGGTTATTATACTGATTTCCGATTTACACTAGTTGTGCAGTATCCGTATTAACGGTAGGTAGATATATTTATTCTGTAACCATTCACTAATCAATCGATTAAATTACGTTCCATTATTGCTTACAGCAAGAAGTCATGCGTTCGATTTGAACACAGCATTCATTAGAATTCCTTGAATTCAATTAAATGCCAGGTTATTGTA